TGAGAATGGGAAGATAGGTTTGACAGGAATGTGTTGGCGGTTCTTTATGAAAAATTTACCATTTACACTTACTTGTCATATTTCGACATCATTTTCGAATATGTCCTTTTTTAGTGAACTTATTTATTCATTCTTTTCACTTATCTGTTTATTTATTTATTTATTTTCCATATATCTTTAGGACTTGGCTTTTGATCTTTCATTGTCTGCACTGTTGGGAGAGAATATCTACAACTTTGGGGAGCTCCTTGCCCATCCAATTGTAAGTCTCCTTTACCTAGAATTTTTATTTTAATTTTATATGCTGGTTTTTCTGTGTTGTTTGTCTTGATGGACCTATGATTATTGCTGTCTTACATGAGTTCATACTTGCAACTTATTGACTGATGGTTCTTTTCTAACGCTGGTATGTTTGTTTGGTTCCTGTGCTCATGTATAAATAAAAAACCTATTATTTTTGCAATGAAGACCGGCAATTTTATTGATCATGGTTTATACTTTATCTCAAAATACAAATCACCCTCTAAAAACAGTTTTAATCATAGAAAGCTTCAACAAGGATGACATGCGGTGAGTTAAGATTCTAGGATCACATTTATCTTCAAGATGGCTAAGATTGAAGCAATTGCCATTCCGTTTTATTCATTCTGTGCCAATGTTATATATTTGTTACAGTGAAGGAAAGTTTGGGTATTAAATATTTTTTTTGTTGGCATTTTAGTGTGGACTGTGATGATAATTGATTTGCCTGTCTTATCAATTCTATGATGTATGTTTAGCCGGCTTTACAAATTTATTTATTTATTTTTTATCAACTCTATGTACGTCTTTTCTTTTTCTCTATATATATGTGAAGGTTTTGTTATTTTTTATTTTTTTTATTTTTTATAATGTTGCACCTTATTTATATTTTCCTGCCAAAAAGAGTTTATCCCCGTGTTTTTTTTCATTTGTGGACACAGAATTATATGGAGTAAGCTGTAGGTCATTCACTATATTAAAACTTTCTTGTATGCATGGAAGTATAGGTCATTCTCTTTATGTTGTCTGGTGGTGCTTAAGGTGAAACAATATCTCTATGATCATGTTTTAGTTACTGTCATTTGGTGATATATCTGTAAATATAGCTGTCTTTGCACTCCACTGGCAAACAAATCATAATCATTTAGGTTGCATGTTGTCAGGGATTCAATGACTGATAGGAGAACACACCCCCTTCCCTTTTTTTAAAAAAAACAAAATGTCATATGAAATAGTTATAGTTAGAGCTTATTTTTAAATTGCTTTGTCTAATATATCATGTATTTTGATGATATCTTTAATCAAAGAGAAAAAAAGTGCCTTATTTTGGCGAGGCATGTTTGTCTCCTTACTCTCCTATCTTATGCTTAAGGTTCTATGGCTCCTTTTGCCTGACTTCGCCTCATGTCTTTAATGATATACTTCCTCCGTTTCTTTTTAGTTGACACGATTGTTTAGTCACGTTTGCGAATGCACAGATCCAACTGTTAATATCTTTTATTACCGTCACTGATTTCCAAAAATTATAAAAAGTTGATATTTTGAAAATATACATTGTGACGAATACAAAAAGACCTCACATGACTATATTTTTCATCACGGATAAATCACAAAACACGGTCAAAGGGAAGTGTGTAAATAGTGTTAAAGTCAGAACGTGTCAACTAAAAATAACGAGGTAGTAGTTGTTTTAATGTTGCTATGCATCAGATATGGATATCTCTATCTCGTTCACTTTATATGCTGCTTGTCGCTTGCGGAGTTTCATTGGAATGTTTCCCGTCAATAATTCTATATTTCTATGTATGATCATTGATGTGATTATTCTGTTCTTTCCCTCAGTTAAAGTCTCTTCTTGGGACAAAGGTCGAGTGGCTCTACTATATTCTGCAAGCATTTAACACTGGCGACCTGATTCGGTATCAAGAATTATGCAATGTGCACAAAGATGCTTTGAATGCACAACCAGCTTTGGTTGCTAATGAAAGGAAACTTTTGGAGAAGATTAATATTCTCTGCTTGATGGAAATCATCTTCAAGTATGTCATAGTAATTGATAAAATTTTAGTGATGATTTATATTAGTGTATTTGAAGTGGTCTTGTTGATTTCACAGTCTGAGCTTGGCAATTTGATTTATTTAATTACTTTGCAGCCGACCAGCAGAAGATAGGACAATTCCCTTGAAGGTCATTGCGGAGCGCACTAGGTTGTCTATTGAAGATGTTGAGTATCTGCTCATGAAGAGCCTCTCTGTAAGTTTTGTTTTAACTTTTTAACATTTTATACATGGCTTCACTGGTCTCAATTGATGGAGACCTTTGTGGTTATATCTATGTTCATCTTGATATGTGAGATCCTGTGCTGTCATAATTTTGTGTGTTTGTGATTGTTACTCCTATAGCTTGCTATTGAGAACCGAGAAGTGATTATAACTAATAACTCATAGCTTGTAAGTGAAGTTATTGCCTATCACTTGGATTAGATGTGAAATAGTCCACCATAAGTTATTAGCGAGAAGGAATCATCTCCGCAAGAATCGTATATGTCATTTACTACAACAATAAGCTAGGTTGCACGGAAACGGATACGGGGACGGAATACGACAAACTCAAATTTTCAAAAAACGGGTACGGCATGGATACGGCAAAAATTAATTTAGCAAAATATAAATACATAAAAAGTTTAAAAAAAAATTAGTGTTTTAATCACATAGTCACATGATAATTATATAATATTATTTTAACCATTTTTTTTAACACATATAATTATAACCACTTGATACGAAAAAAAGAAAAGAAAAAAATAAAATAAAACAAAGCACAAATTAAACGACAAATAGGTTTCAAAAATAAAAAAAAAACGACAAACCTACTGACTTGTTGAGGGCCCTGACTGAGTCTGAGGCTACTGTCCAGTAATCAGTAAATTGAAAGTTAAAAAATATTATTCAAATAATCACATTAACCATTAAAATGAAAAAACTTTAGCCTGTAGAAATAGAAGTAGAAAGAATCGCAGGTAGTAGCCGGTGTCTGAGTGGATTGCAGGTGGTCGCCGGCATCTGAGTGGATCGCAGGTGGTTGCCGGCAAGGAATCATGGCCTCGTGGGTCGCAGCAGGTGGTCGCCGGCAAGGAATCATGGCTTCGTGGGTCGCAGGTGGTCACCGGCAAGGAATCCAAGAAATCTTGGCATATCAATTTCTAGGGTTTTGAAAAATTAACCGGACGTAAGAAAATTTGGGGGTTTTTTCTAAAAAATGGGTTGGGCTTGTATTGGGGACGTCAAATAAGATCCGTCCCCGAAACGTTTCCGGAGCTCCTCCCAACCGTCCCAAAAATAGCTTCCCGTACCACCTTTCGAGGGTACGCCATGGGGACGTATTTGGGCCGTACCCGTACCGTACCCGTCCCCGATACGTCCCCGGTACGGGAAACAGCCACCCTTCGGCGTACCCGTGCATCATTGACAATAAGTTCCGATATGTTCATTTTGGGGTCAGTAAGGACTAATTAGGTTTATTTTACAACAAGCTCAGACAAGTTAAAATAAAGTAAAGATCAGGTAGAGAGATCACACCCTTTATTTGCTACTACTCCACCTTGAAAAAAATATGTGTGTGGAGTGCCTAACTTTAGGGTAAAGGAAAATCTTTTTGCATAGGATGTTTTAACTTTGTGGGACATAACAAAATGAAAGATTTTAACTTCTTCTAAGGGAAGTGAAGTGTCTTTGTACTTTTGTAGTCTGGATCTTATAGAATCATACTACATACGAAGTATATTATTTGCAGAACTATATCTTTAAAATAAAATTGTAAGTCCCATGTACGTTTTATGAAATGAGCTTGATTATGCTTTTAGAAAAGGATTTGTTGATCTCCTATAATTTTCTGCAAGTATTAATTTACGGACAATCTCTTAAATTCAGTCAACATCCTACCCCAGAAGTTGATTGTCACATAAAAAATGGTGAGGTAAAACTTGAATAAGTCCTCCATGTCAAGGGTAATTATTTACTTTGGGGAGGGGCTGGGCTTGTGTTGCTATTCTTTTTCTGTCAACTGCTGCCTCTAGAGACAATAAGCTTGTCTTCTGGAGAAGTTCACCACTTTCAATGTTTGGCCAAAGGTTTCCTGTAGATTATTCTAGTTAGACTGTACTAAATTGCCTACTTGGTGCATTTATTTGCTGTTATTCCATCGGTGTTGTAGAAACTGAAACTCTGCCAGTTCTAGTAGATTGTCAATATAAGACAGCTAATTCTTTTGCCCTTCACTGTGAACTCCGAATGACTTTGGATACAGGTTCATCTTATTGAGGGAATCATTGATCAAGTTGAGGGGACAGTTCATGTATCCTGGGTGCAACCGAGAGTTTTAGGGATTCCACAAATCACGTCCTTGCGTGACCGGCTGGATAGTTGGTTGGGCAAAGTACACACTGCCTTATTATCCGTTGAGGCTGAAACACCAGATCTAGTTGCTTCATAATTTGTAGGTTCTCATATTTGTCTCATGTAACGGATACTTAGTGCGTGGACAAAAGGGAAAGGATGCCTATTATCAGAGAGTGACAGGTTATCCGGGCTTTAATTTTTGTATGCATCTTTTCAAGTATTTTGTTCGTTGGTCTTAGATTCATTTTTCCTGGAGCAAATCTTTCCCCTTGTACTTCCTCTATTTGAGGTGTTTGATCTGCTTAATGAGACTAAGAGAGGGGGCTGAATCATTTCAAGCACATCTCAAGTGTGCTTTCATAGTGTTTAAATATTAGTATGTACTTCAGGTTCTCAACTTCTATTGAACAACTGTCATTCTCATTTGAGGGTATGACTTTTCTGCTCATTGCTACAGTATAATCTCATCTTCTGTGCTTGTGTTTAGCCATTAACAATATATTATCTTAGTTTGCTTTACTAGCTAAGTTAGTTTATCTATGTGATCAACACATTTTAATAACTATTATACCGCTTCAATTTGGTAGCTCTTATATAGCAATTAAAAGTTTAAATCAGTAACCAAAGCTTAAACTCTTCATCATTGGAGGAAATTGGCTGCTTGAAATGAACTCTTATTGCCTTTCGTTAAACTTCAGAAAACACAATTTACTTCTGTTGTTTACCATCGCAAGTTTACTTAAAGCATTTTACTTTATTCGCAAGTAAATACAAGGACCTTTCGAGAGGCGTTTAACCAGAGATTAGGTTGCGACCTTCCTCACCAAACCACTAGCAAGGCCACACTTAGATGTCTTATCCGTCTCAGGGAAGCATGATAAAGATGATATCAAAGATACACCTTGGTATTATCCATTATATTTACCTAATTGGCTATTGCAAATCTTATCCTGTAATCTTCTCTTTATGTAAATGTTATACCTGGCTGTTCACACAATAACTTTTGGTAATGAAAATTATTTGTGTCCTAATTTGCTCTTGCATATCTTTAGGTAATCACTCTTGTAATATATAATGTAAATGCTTCTACTTGAAACATTACACCACTACTTATTTCTCTCAAAACACACACACAAGTAAAAATGGCCATTGACAGTAGTCGTTTTGAGGGCGGTTGTACAAAGGCTAGAAGCTTCACAGTACAGCTCCTCGCAGGGCGGTTTTTCATGGCATTTACAACCATCATAATCCTCTCCTTCATTGGCACCTCCTATATATTTGGTCTATACTCGGGTGAAATTAAAACTACACTTGGGTATGATCAAGCCACCCTTAATCTCCTTAGTTTCTTCAAAGACCTTGGTGCTAATGTTAGTGTCCATGCCGGTCTCATCATGGAGGTGGCCCCACCATGGGTGATCCTCTCACTTGGTGCCGTTGTTAACTTTTTTGGCTACTTCATGATCTGGCTCTCGGTCACTCACAAGATCTTGCGCCCTCCAGTTTGGCTAATGTGTTTATACATCACCATTGGGGCTAACTCCTTAGGGTTTGCCAACACCGGCGCTATAGTACCCTGTATCAAGAACTTCCCTGAGAATCGAGGCGTTGTGATTGGGATTTTGAAGTCATATATTGGTTTAGGTGGGGCTGTTATGGCTCAATTATATCATGCGCTTTACGGCAATGATACTACAGCTGATGGGGTGATCTTACTCATCGCTTGGCTACCTGCACTAATTTTATTGGTCTTTGCATTTAGTGTTCGAGTCCTTAAGTTTGCTGGTCATAGACAAATCAAAAGAGAGAAGAAATTTTTTAGTGGCATCCTTTACATCTCTCTAGTCCTCGCGGGGTTCATCATGGTTATGATCATAGTGCAAAAACAAGTCGAGTTCAGCAAAACGGGTTATGGTATGAGTTGTGTTGTCATTATGCTTCTCCTCGTACTCCCTATCTCCCTAGTTTTCAGAGAAGAGCTATATTTCTTCGAAAGCTATGCTTGAAATGAACAATAATACTCGAGCTCCATCCAATACCCTATCCGAGGTGAATGTCATGCCTGGTAACGATAAATCTCCATCAATAAATCAATCTGCTAATAATAGTAGTAGTAGTAGTAGTAGTAGTAGTAGTAGTAGTAGTAGTAGTAGTAGTAGTAGTAGTAGTAGTCGTAATATTAGTAGTACTAATAATCAAGGAAGTAGCAATGTAGAACATACAGAAGTGTCATGTTTCCAAGACATGTTCCATCCTCCGGCTTTGGGGGAAGACAACACCATCTTACAAGCGACGTTTAGTATCGACATGATGATATTGTTCCTTGCTACAATGTGTGGCATAGGAGGAAACCTAACCACAATAGACAACTTAGGCCAAATCGGAACATCATTAGGGTACCCTAAAAAAAACCTTAGCACCTTTGTGTCCTTAATTGGTATATGGCAATATTTAGGGCGTGTGTTGGGAGGACTCATCTCGGAGCACTTGTTAAAATACAAGTGGCCTAGGCCTGCTTGTCTCACTGCCGTCCTCTTTACCTCGTGCATTGCTCACCTTCTCATAGCCTTCAACGCGCCATATGGCCTCTATATAGCATCGATTGTCATGGCATTTTGCTTTGGTGCTGAGGTGACCTACCTCTACTCTATCATATCTGAGCTCTTTGGGCTCAAGCACTATGCTACGTTGTACAATTACGGCTCATTGGCTGGCCCCCTAGGGTCATACATATTTAGTGTGAGAGTCGCAGGGCATTTGTATGACAAGGAGGGATTGAGACAACTCGAGGCCTTAGAGCCAACAAGGAAGCATGGGGAGGAGTTGAAGTGTAATGGAGTCAAGTGCTACCAGTTGGCCTACATTATAATCGCGGCTGCTACGTTCTTCACTGCCCTTGTGTCTTTGATTCTTGTTGCTAGAACAAGGAAGTTTTACAAGGGGGATATTTACAAAAGGTTCCAAGAAGATGACGAGAATAATGTGACATTAAGAAGAGTGGGTTCGGCTAAGAAGGAAGAAGAGATCAATTAATTCATGTTACTTGTTTTTTCATTTGTTTATATTTTTGCTATAATATACTTCGTATATTCGTGTATCAAGTGGATTAATAGTATAGTAATTGAACGGTCCTTGATTTGATTTTGGGTGTTGAGTTCTACCGTTACTTTTAAATTTTAACCAACTAAACTAGTTAGTATATGTATCCACGGAGATCATTTAATTTGAGGTGTCTATTAAATATAGAGCCCATTTGCTTATAGTTTGTTTGTAGAATATAATAATACTTTGCGCAAAAGAGACCCAAGAGAACTTCTCAAACATTGATGATAAGTATTATTATATCAGATAATTCATGAAAATACAAAAAGTTTCAACTTTTGTATGTAGGTCACCAAGAAATCTACTCTTAAGTAATACAAGTATAAGACATGCAAAATTCCATTTGTTTTTGCGGGTTCAATTGTATTAGAACAAATGATAGCATGCTTATCAATCATACGCAGGAATTAGAGCGAGGACATAGCTTGGGGATAATTAGGCTCGAATCCATAACCTCTATCACGTCAAGGTACGCCTAGCACTTCTCAAAGATCTTACCACTAAAATTAGCACGTCAAGAAATTTGCTACATACATTTGCGTTACATTACACAATTCGAACATAAACATTTTCAAAGCCATATATATAAGTTGCATATTATGGTAGCGAGACATTAGCTAGATCGTCCTCTTTCTGAACAACATTTGTAGTGTCGATGAAAGTTTCAACCCTATCTTTTCTAACCATGAGGTAGATGACCGATAAGATATAGATAGCAATCAATGGAAACACGACGATTCCCATGAACACGTTACCTACTTTAGGTAAGTTATTGTGTAGCAACCACCCAAGGAAGGCCGTGATCAAGTAATAGATGTTGATGCCAATTATTCCGAGTCCCAAAACCCATGAGATGACGATAATCTGCCCAAGTTAAACTTCTATTAGTCTCATCTAAATCGATTTTATGATGAAACACTTCGTGTTTTAGATGAAGGGTGTCGAGATATTGTATTTGAATTGAAGTTAACAAACTTACAATATTGGAATTCTTGTGAGGTCCCATCTTGGTAGAACTACTGCTAAACTTGAGGAGTGGAATCAAAGCAAATGGAAGCTCAAATGATAATATCATCTACCAAATTATATTCATTGTATTAGTTACCATAATATATACATCCGAATTTTATATAGAAAAATGAATTGTGATAAGAGTATATAAATCAACTAATAGGCTTCAACCATCAGTTTAAGCTTTTGTTTGAATCAGTCCTCTAACAAATTCAATCAATTGTATTGTATTGTATTGTGTACATCTAGCAAGATCGAAAAAATCACTCACCGAGGCAATAATAATGAGCTTCCCAGCTCCTGCTGATCCTCCGATGATAGAAACTATTAGGCTTGGTGTAATAGCCACCAATCGAGTAACTAAATTCCTTAACCACGATTTCATTTTAAGGTCCAAAAATCCCTGTACACAAAATATATGTAGCGTCAAAATTGTTATATAATAGTATCATCTATTATTTGTTCCTTAATAACACAATCCATTGAATTCCTTGCACTTTTTGTTATTATGAAATTGAGCAAATATTGGTAGGTCAATTGAAAACATTTTCTTTGTTATCGTATTAATAAAGTTGTGTACATTTGATCCTCTTAACTGCTTCGCGCAAAATGTTATTTTAATTTTACAATATTATCACATAATAAGATGTTATACCTGCATAATATATTGGCCAGCATAAGTCCCAGTGATGGTAGAGCTTTGTCCTGAAGCAAAGAGAGCAATGCCATAGAAAATCGCGGCAGTTTTTTTGCCTAAGACATTTTTAAGAAGGATTGAAGCATTGTTAAGGGTTAAACCACTGCATTGTTGTGCCTCTAGCTGTGTGAGATTGTTGCTTGAACAAACTGTGCCGGATACTGATATAATAGCTACATTGATCCAAAACGCGATAAATAAAGCAAAACCACTCTCTAATAAGAAGTATCTACATGCTTGCTGCAAAATAATAAGTACAACATATTAGCAAACTTAATGGTAATAATAATCTTATATTAATTAGAGATTAGATCAATAGCTTGTTGTATTTGTTACATACGTTAATGCCTTTCGTAGACATGGTTACTTTTCTTGATAACACAAGTGCTGAATGTAGAAACAAGTTGTGCCTGTCAAGAGTCAAGTTTTGGTTAACCGTTAACATCACTAATTTTACCAAGCACAGATTAAACAGTTAAAATAATACATATAGTTGATAAGAGCATAAAACCTATTCTTGAGCCTTAACCAGGCCCAAGAAAAAGTTTTATACTAAACGTGCAGTTTTTTTTTTTTTTTTTTTTTAATGCGCAATGGTTATTTTCTCATGAATCAAGTGAGAGCTTAATGACAGAGTTTGTAAACTTGTATGGAAACTTACGGCATAACAAGAGCACCGAGCAGCGCGATGGAATCAGCAGTGGCGTCCTGGCCTTGAAGCTTAGGAATAAACATGCCCTCAACCACATCTTTCACTGGCAGCTTCACATAACCCATCTCTCCAAAGAAACAAGCTCCCATTATAAGCACTAATATTGCTATCAACAATTCCAACTTCCTTATCTATAACACCGCCAAAAGAAACATAGAAAAAGAACCACATAAGACTTTTTTTTTCCATGATTTTTGTTAATGTACATACGCCCACACATGTATAAATAAAAAAAGTTGTCACGTTGTCTAAACCTTTTATGTTCGTTCATTAATCATAAAACCAGTTATATATATATATATATATATATATTCCGAAATAGCTAAATGATAGATGTTGGATTACCCCATATTTTTGAAGTCCAAGGAGTAGGAGAGTGCTTAAACCAGTGAGAAGAACACCAGCCCAAACAGGAATATGAAAGAGGATGTTCAATGCGAAGGCGGTGCCAATGACTTCCGGTATATCTGCTGCGATTACTGCTACTTCTGCTAGCATCCATAAGCAATACTTCACTACTACAGGGTACTCTGCTTTGCAATGCTCAGCCAAGTGTTTACCTTGAAAAAAAAGGGTATCATTTATTGTGACATGTACTTATATACAAAGTATATTAATGTTTGATAAGCTATAATATCGGGGTAATTTTTTAGGTAGAAGCCGTACAACCAGTTGTACCTTATGCCAAGTGTACCCGACTATTTCATTCTTTGTTCATGTGCTTGTATTTATAATTTTACGATTAAGAATTTGGGGCTTACCAGTGGTCACACCAAGATTTGCTGCTAGAGATTGGATAATCAAAGCAAAAATCAATCCAATAAGAATCACCCATAGAAGCTGAAAAATTAGACCATCATATTACTATATTAGTACTTCTTCCTTTCAAGCTGTCCCATTATACATACAAGCTTAAAAAAAAAGGTGCTATTAACGAGCACTTCGTACATAGTTGGCCTTAAGTGAGACATGTAACAAGTCACCCACGACTTATCTCTTATATATATGTTACTATGTACAAGTATAATACAAAGTACTTCATATATTGTTTTTTGTGTTATTTATTTATTTTTTTCAACATGTGTTAATACATAATGTAATATTATGCCGTATCAATTAAATAAAGCCTTAATCCTATGTATGGAATCGGTTATATGAACCAAATATGATTATTCCGTGTAATCATAAAGTAATGGTATCAGCTGTCAAAAAATAAATGTAATTATAGCAAAAAGTTAAGAGTAGTTACCGAGAATCGATGATTAGCTCCTGCTTGCAAGTCGGTTTCCACTACATAGCATCATATCAAATGAAAATATGTAAGAAGACAAATTCAACTACATATAATAACTACTAAGTATTATATATACTTCATCCTACGTATGTGTTTAATAATTATTTGGTTTATTGCTTTAATTTGACATATCTACTACTTGCAACTTACTTGATTATTGTATGTGTCATATTCAATATTACATAGTTTGTAGATAATCAAAAGAAACATGTAAGAAAATCTTAAAAATTCTAGGATAGTTATCTGCTATGGCCGACTATCTTTGACTACGTTTGACTATATCAACAAATTAAATCTTAACCGTTGATTTGTAAGTAATTAAGGGAAAGAAAAACTTACAATTGCCAGGATCAAGATAAGCCAAGGAAACCAGGAAGCCAGGACCAACAAATGATAAGAACTTTTTCCACCCAGGTTCCTATAACAATTTATCAACTAATTAATTAGCACATTTTATTTAGTTTCTTTGCATACAAAGAACTAAGTACTAGTTTATTCAAGAGAAAATCGAATTTAATAAATATATATATAAATAAGTTTATAGTTAATAAAAAAATTAGTGGTTAGACTTCTGAAAATTAAAATTCAAAGCTTACGCCATTATCTAAATGTGGTTCGATCAACATAACTTGAAGATCACTTTGTGACTTTGATATTAGAGATTTTAAGAGATGTCAAACATTTATTGATAGTTGATACCTTGATTATTGTTATTATTATGGTGTCAAAAAAGGAAAAAATTATTTTGATTATTATGATGTTGTATGTTATTATTTTGCTAATCATGTATGATACCAAAATAACCAAGATATCAAGAGATATGATATCTCTTCATATCTCTAATTTTTGACACCTCGTGTGAACACACTTAATTTTGAGGTTTCTTTATTTTAATTTCATATAAATTCTACAAGGATATCAACTAATGAAATTTTGACTTTAGCAAATACCTTTTTTATGGTTAAAATAAATAAATAAAAGGAAAAGGGAGTAATAGCTAAATGATTCATTTCCCTCCTCTTATTTACTTCCTTTCCACTGTGTTTCCATTTTCCGAACCAAAATCCTCGTAAGTTTCTACATCACTTGTAACTAATGACATCTCTATATTAGATGGATGTAATGCCTCTCTAAATTATATGAATTAACTAGGATTACCACTATGTTTTAATACGATGTTCCAATGTGTTGGACCTTTCAAGTGTATATAAATAGTACGTTTTGAGAGAGCACAAGTTATATAAAGAATCCGATACAAGGGTTTTGATCACAACTTAATATACGAACTAAACTTTAGCAAACGTAATGACATCTTTGATACGTGATGGATCAAATAATGTCTTATTTTGAGCACAAACTTAAAAAAATCTCTTAAAGTGATTAAAAGTTACCCTTGAAATGAATAAAAAT